CTGCCCTAACTTATACTAGCAAGATATAGTATAAGGTAGGCCTTTATTATATTATGCCTAGGACCCCTAGACTGATTAGTAACCCCTAGAGCTAATCTGCTATACCTTCTGTAAATAGAAGGTATAGCAGACTAATCTCTGCTATAATATGCTAGGCTAGCCCCTAGAACCTTCTGTAGCCCCTAAAGCCAACCCCCTAGACCTTTTATAGTAATTAATATAGCAGATTGATTTTTACTATAGTATGCTAAGTTAATCCCCTAGACCTTTTATAACAGTTAGTATAGTAGATTAATCTTTACTATAGCATGCTAAGCTAAGCCCCTAAACCTTTTATAGCCCCTAGAGCTAATCCCCTAAACCTTCTATAGTAATTAGTATAGTAAATTAATCTCTGCTATAGCATACTAAGCTAAGCCCCTAAACCTGCTATAGCCCCTAAAGCTAATCTTACTAATCCTTATATAGTAATAGGTTATTCTGCTATTCCTTAGTTAGTATAGCTAGAGGGGCCTGTCTAGGGTAATCCTTACTGCTTATATTAGCATTTAACCTAACTAGCTGCCTTAGCCTCTTATAGGTCCACTAATTAAATAGAAGCCTAGGCCAGGTTAGATTAGGCTTATAGCTGCATTCTGATTTTCTGCAAAATTTATTTATATGCAATTTTGCCTAAATTAACTTACAGCCATATAAATAGAAAACTAACTTAGCCAGTTTTTTTAGACTTAGCCGTTTTTACTGATTTTAAAGGTTTAGACCTACCCTAGAGTGCTACCCTAGAGTGCTACCCTAGAGTGCTACCCTAGAGTGCTACCCTAGAGCTATAGCAGCCTACCCTAGAGCTTTTATAAGAGCTACCTTATAAAAGGAAGGAGAGGAAGTAAAAGAGAGTGTAAAAGCTACCCTGTAAAAGGAAGGAGAGGAAGTAAAAGAGAGTGTAAGAGCTACCTTATAAAAAGAAGGAGAGAAAGTAAAAGAGAGTGTAAAAGCTACCCTGCAGGAGGAAGAAGAGGAAGTAAAAGAGAGTAGAAGAGCTACCTTATAAAAGGAAGGAGAGGGAGTAAAAGAGAGTATAAAAGCCACCCTATAAAAGGAAGGAGAGAAAGTAAAAGAGAGTATAAAAGCTACCCTGCAGAAGGAAGAAGAGGGAGTAAAAGAGAGTATAAAAGCCACCCTACAGGAGGAAGGAGGGTATATAAAAGCCACCTTATAAAAGGAAGGAGAGAAAGTAAAAGGGAGTGTAAAAGCTACCCTACAGAAGGAAAAAGAGGAAGTAAAAGAGAGTATAAAAGCTACCTTATAAAAAGAAGAAGAGAAAGTAAAAGAGAGTATAAAAGCTACCCTATAAAAGAAAAAAAAGGAAGTAAAAAAAAGTAAAAAAGCTACCTTATAAAAGGAAGGAGAGGGAGTAAAAAAAAGTATAAAAGCCACCTTATAAAAAGAGGGAGGGTATATAAAAGCCACCTTATAAAAGGAAGGAGAGAAAGTAAAAAAGAGTATAAAAGCTACCTTATAAAAAGAAGGAGAGGAAGTAAAAAAGAGTATAAAAGCTACCTTATAAAAAAAAGGAGAGAAAGTAAAAGAAAGTATAAAAGCTACCTTATAAAAAAAAGAAAAGGAAGTAAAAAAAAGTATAAAAGCTACCCTACAGAAAAAAAGAGAAGGAGTAAAAAAAAATATAAAAGCCACCTTATAAAAGAAAGAAAAAAAAGTAAAAAAGAGTATAAGAGCTACTTTATAAAAGGAAGGAGAGGGAGTAAAAAAGAGTATAAAAGCTACTTTATAAAAGGAAAAAGGGTATATAAAAGCCACCTTATAAAAAGAAAGAAAGAAAGTAAAAGAGAGTATAAAAGCTACCTTATAAAAAAAAAAAGAGAGAGTAAAAGAGAGTATAAAAGCCACCCTGCAGAAGGAAGGAGGGTATATAAAAGCCACCTTATAAAAAAAAGGAGAGAAAGTAAAAAAGAGTATAAAAGCTACCTTATAAAAAGAAGGAGAGAAAGTAAAAGAGAGTATAAGAGCTACCTTATAAAAAGAAGGAGAGGAAGTAAAAGAGAGTATAAAAGCTACTTTATAAAAAGAAGGAGAGAAAGTAAAAAAAAGTATAAAAGCTACTTTATAAAAAGAAAGAGAGGGAGTAAAAAAGAGTATAAAGACTACCTTATAAAAGGAAGAAGGGTATATAAAAGCCACCTTATAAAAAGAAGGAGAGAAAGTAAAAAAAAGTATAAAAGCTACCTTATAAAAGGAAGGAGAGGGAGTAAAAGAGAGTAAAAAAGCTACCTTATAAAAGGAAGAAGAGGGAGTAAAAGAGAGTATAAAAGCCACCTTATAAAAGGAAGGAGAGAAAGTAAAAGAGAGTATAAAAGCTACCCTGCAGAAGGAAAAAGAGGGAGTAAAAGAGAGTATAAAAGCCACCTTATAAAAGGAAGGAGGGTATATAAAAGCCACCTTATAAAAGGAAGAAGAGAAAGTAAAAAGGAGTGTAAAAGCTACCTTATAAAAGGAAGGAGAGGAAGTAAAAGAGAGTATAAAAGCTATTTTATAAAAAGAAGGAGAGAAAGTAAAAGAGAGTATAAAAGCTACTTTATAAAAAAAAGAAAAAGAAGTAAAAAAAAGTAAAAAAGCTACTTTATAAAAAAAAGGAGAGGGAGTAAAAAAGAGTATAAAAGCCACCTTATAAAAAAAAGAAAAGAAAGTAAAAGAAAGTATAAAAGCTACCTTATAAAAGGAAGAAGAAGGAGTAAAAAAAAGTATAAAAGCCACCTTATAAAAGAAAGGAGGGTATATAAAAGCTATCTTATAAAAAGAAAAAGAGAAAGTAAAAAAAAGTATAAAAGCTACCTTATAAAAAAAAGAAGAGAAAGTAAAAAAAAGTAAAAGAGCTACTTTATAAAAGGAAGGAGAGAGAGTAAAAGAGAGTATAAAAGCCACCTTACAGAAGGAAGAAGAGAAAGTAAAAAAGAGTATAAAAGCCACCCTACAGAAGGAAGAAGGGTATATAAAAGCCATTTTATAAAAAAAAGAAAAGAAAGTAAAAAAGAGTATAAAAGCTACCTTATAAAAGGAAGGAGAGGGAGTAAAAGAGAGTATAAAAGCCACCTTGCAGGAGGAAGGAGGGTATATAAAAGCCACCTTATAAAAAAAAGGAGAGAAAGTAAAAAAGAGTGTAAAAGCTACTTTATAAAAAGAAGAAGAGAAAGTAAAAAAGAGTATAAGAGCTACCTTATAAAAAGAAGGAGAGAAAGTAAAAAAGAGTATAAAAGCTACCTTATAAAAGGAAGGAGAGAAAGTAAAAAAAAGTATAAAAGCTACCCTGCAGAAAGAAGGAGAGGGAGTAAAAAAGAGTATAAAAGCTACCTTACAGAAGGAAAAAGAGTATATAAAAGCCACCTTATAAAAGGAAGGAGAGAAAGTAAAAGAGAGTATAAAAGCTACCTTATAAAAGGAAGGAGAGGAAGTAAAAAAGAGTATAAGAGCTACCTTATAAAAAGAAGGAGAGGAAGTAAAAAAGAGTATAAAAGCTACTTTATAAAAAGAAGAAGAGGAAGTAAAAAAGAGTAAAAAAGCTACCTTATAAAAGGAAAGAGAGGGAGTAAAAAAGAGTATAAAAGCCACCTTATTAACAAAAGAAAAGAAAGGTAAAGAAAGTATAAAAGCTGCCTTATGAAAGAAAGAAGAAGGAGTAAAAAAAAGTATAAAAGCCACTTTATAAAAAAGAAGGGAGGGTATATAAAAGCTATTTTACAAGAAGACAAACAGAAAGTAAAAAAAAGTATCAAAGCTACCTTATAAAACTGCGAACAGAAAGTAACAGAGAGTAGAAGAGCTGCTTTACAACAGGAAGCATAGGGAGTAAAAGAGAGTATCAAATCCACTTTATAAACGAAGGGAGGGTATATAAAAGCTACCTTATAAAAGGAAGGAGAGAAAGTAAAAAAAAGTATAAAAGCTACCTTATAAAAAGAAGGAGAGGGAGTAAAAAAAAGTATAAAAGCTACCCTGCAGAAGGAAGGAGGGTATATAAAAGCTACCTTATAAAAGGAAGGAGAGAAAGTAAAAGAGAGTATAAAAGCTACTTTATAAAAGAAAGGAGAGAAAGTAAAAGGGAGTATAAAAGCTACCTTATAAAAAGAAGGAGAGGAAGTAAAAAAAAGTATAAAAGCCACTTTATAAAAAAAAGAAAAAAAAGTAAAAAAAAGTATAAAAGCTACCTTATAAAAAGAAAAAAAGGAAGTAAAAAAAAGTAAAAGAGCTACCTTATAAAAGAAAGGAGAGGGAGTAAAAAAGAGTATAAAAGCCACCTTATAAAAGGAAGAAGGGTATATAAAAGCTACCTTATAAAAGAAAAGAGAGAAAGTAAAAGAGAGTATAAAAGCTACCTTATAAAACGAAGAAGAAGAAGTAAAAAAAAGTAAAAAAGCTACCTTATAAAAGGAAGAAGAGGAAGTAAAAAAGAGTATAAAAGCTACCTTATAAAAGGAAGGAGAGAGAGTAAAAAAAAGTATAAAAGCTACCCTACAGAAGGAAAAAAAGAAAGTAAAAAAGAGTATAAAAACTACCTTATAAAAAAAAGGAGAGGGAGTAAAAAAAAGTATAAAAGCCACCCTATAAAAGGAAAAAGGGTATATAAAAGCCACCTTATAAAAAGAAGGAGAGAAAGTAAAAAAAAGTATAAAAGCTACCTTATAAAAAGAAGGAAAGGGAGTAAAAAAGAGTATAAAAGCCACTTTACAGGAGGAAGGAGGGTATATAAAAGCCACCTTATAAAAAGAAGGAGAGAAAGTAAAAGAGAGTATAAAAGCTACCCTATAGAAAAAAGAAAAAAAAGTAAAAAAAAGTATAAAAGCTACCTTATAAAAGGAAGGAGAGGGAGTAAAAGAGAGTATAAAAGCTACCTTATAAAAAGAAGGAGAGGAAGTAAAAAAGAGTATAAAAGCTACCTTATAAAAGGAAGGAGATAAAGTAAAAGAGAGTATAAAAGCTACCCTGCAGAAAGAAGAAGAGAGAGTAAAAAAAAGTATAAAAGCTACCTTATAAAAAGAAGAAGAGGGAGTAAAAAAGAGTATAAAAGCTACTTTATAAAAAGAAAGAGAGGGAGTAAAAAAGAGTATAAAAGCCACCTTATAAAAAGAAGGAGAGGAAGTAAAAAAAAGTGTAAAAGCTACTTTATAAAAGGAAGGAGAGGAAGTAAAAAAAAGTATAAAAGCTACCTTATAAAAAGAAGAAGAGAAAGTAAAAGAGAGTATAAAAGCTACCTTATAAAAGGAAGGAGAGGGAGTAAAAAAGAGTATAAAAGCCACTTTATAAAAAAAAGGAGAGAAAGTAAAAAAGAGTATAAAAGCTACCTTATAAAAAAAAAAAAAAAAAGTAAAAAAGAGTATAAAAGCTACTTTATAAAAGGAAGGAGAGGAAGTAAAAAAAAGTATAAAAGCTACCTTATAAAAAAAAAAAGAGAAAGTAAAAAAAAGTATAAAAGCTACCTTATAAAAGAAAGGAGAGGAAGTAAAAAAAAGTATAAAAGCTACCTTATAAAAAAAAAGAAAAGGGAGTAAAAAAAAGTATAAGAGCTACCTTATTTAAGAAAGAAAAGAAAGTAAAAAAGAGTATAAAAACTACTTTATAAAAAGAAGGAGAGAGAGTAAAAAAAAGTATAAAAGCTACCTTATAAAAGAAAGAAAGGTATATAAAAGCCACCTTATAAAAAAAAGGAGAGAAAGTAAAAAAAAGTATAAAAGCTACCTTATAAAAGAAAGGAGAGGGAGTAAAAAAGAGTATAAAAGCCACCTTACAGGAGGAAGAAAGGTATATAAAAGCCACCTTATAAAAAAAAAGAGAGAAAGTAAAAAAAAGTATAAAAGCTACCTTATAAAAAAAAGAAGAGAAAGTAAAAAAGAGTATAAAAGCTACCCTGCAGAAAGAAGAAAAAAGAGTAAAAAAAAGTATAAAAGCCACCTTATAAAAAGAAGGAGAGAAAGTAAAAAAAAGTATTTAAGCTACCTTATAAAAAGAAGAAAAGGAAGTAAAAGAGAGTATAAAAGCTACCTTACAGAAAGAAAGAGAGGGAGTAAAAAAAAGTATAAAAGCTACTTTATAAAAAGAAGAAGAGGGAGTAAAAGAGAGTATAAAAGCTACTTTATAAAAGAAAGGAGAGGGAGTAAAAAAGAGTATAAAAGCCACCTTATAAAAAGAAGAAGAGAAAGTAAAAAAAAGTATAAAAGCTACCTTATAAAAGGAAGGAGAGGAAGTAAAAAAAAGTATAAAAGCTACCTTATAAAAAAAAGAAGAGAAAGTAAAAAAGAGTATAAAAGCTACTTTATAAAAGGAAGGAGAGAAAGTAAAAAAAAATATAAAAGCTACCTTATAAAAAAAAGAAGAGGAAGTAAAAAAAAATATAAAAGCTACTTTATAAAAAAAAAGAGAGAAAGTAAAAGAGAGTATAAAAGCTACCTTATAAAAGGAAAAAAAGGAAGTAAAAAAAAGTATAAAAACTACCTTATAAAAAAAAAAAAAGAGAGTAAAAAAGAGTATAAAAACTACCTTATAAAAAAAAGGAGAGAGAGTAAAAAAAAGTATAAAAGCTACCTTATAAAAGGAAGGAGAGGGAGTAAAAGAGAGTATAAAAGCTACCTTATAAAAAAAAGAAGAGAAAGTAAAAAAGAGTATAAAAGCTACCCTGCAGAAGGAAGGAGAGTGTATAAAAGAGACCTTATAAACCGCAGGAGAGAAAGTAAGAGAGTGTATAAAAGCCACTTTATAAAAGGAAGAAGAGAAAGTAAAAAGGAGTGTAAAAGCTACCTTATAAAAAGAAGGAGAGGAAGTAAAAGAGAGTATAAAAGCCACTTTATAAAAAAAAGAAAAAAAAGTAAAAAAGAGTATAAAAGCTACCTTATAAAAAGAAAAAAAGGAAGTAAAAAAAAGTAAAAGAGCTACTTTATAAAAGAAAGGAGAGGGAGTAAAAAAGAGTATAAAAGCCACCTTATAAAAAGAAGAAGGGTATATAAAAGATACCTTATAAAAGACATGAGAGAAAGTAAAAGAGAGTATAAAAACTACTTTATAAAACGCAGAAGAAGAAGTAAAAGAAAGTATAAAAGCTACCTTATAAAAGGAAGAAGAGGAAGTAAAAAAGAGTATAAAAGCTACCTTATAAAAGGAAGGAGAGAGAGTAAAAAAAAGTATAAAAGCTACCCTACAGAAGGAAAAAAAGAAAGTAAAAAAGAGTATAAAAACCACCTTACAAAAAAAAGGAGAGGGAGTAAAAAAAAGTATAAAAGCCACCCTACAAAAGGAAAAAGGGTATATAAAAGCCACCTTATAAAAAGAAGGAGAGAAAGTAAAAAAAAGTATAAAAGCTACCTTATAAAAAGAAGAAAAGAAAGTAAAAAAAAGTATAAAAGCTGCCTTATAAAAAGAAGGAAAAAAAGTAAAAAAAAGTATAAAAGCTACTTTATAAAAAGAAGGAGAGAAAGTAAAAAAAAGTATAAAAGCTACCTTATAAAAAAAAAGAGAGAAAGTAAAAAAGAGTATAAAAGCTACTTTAAAAAAAAAAGGAGAGGGAGTAAAAAAAAATATAAAAGCTACTTTATAAAAAAAAGAAAAAAAAGTAAAAAAAAGTATAAAAGCTACTTTATAAAAAAAAAAGGGTATTAAAAGCTACTTCAAAAAAAGGACCAGCCATGCCCGAAA